TTTCTTCTCTTGCACCTTGGCGGTCCTGACACCATTACTTCCTTTGCTCTGGAAGATAATGAATTTTGGATTAGGCACTTGCTTGGGCTTGGATTTCAAGTTGGCTCTACTGCCTATGTCTTTGTTAAGTCCCTCCCGAGGAACAAGCTTTGGCTCCCAACCATACTAGTGTTAATGGCAGGAATAATCAAATATGCAGAAAGGAACCGTGCCTTCTATCTTGCAAGCCTTGACCATCTTGGCGATGATTGGTTACCAAGTGAATGGGGAGATGAAATTCCGGTTCCAGCAGAATTCCAGAAGATGGACAGCCCGGAAAAATTTGAGCAAAGTCAGGAGCAAATGCTATTATGGACTGCAGTTCACCACTTTGGAACAATCAAGATGATGCTTGTAGGCCCTCTTTTATCTCCAGATCAATGCTCTGAGATCAGAGAAACCTTTCTCCAAGTGGGAGATTCATCTCAAGTGTTGCAAATAATGGAAATTGAGCTAAGCCTCTTGTATGAGGTTCTTCACACCAAGTTGCCTGTGGTTGGTTGCATGATGGGATACATTTTCAGGTTCATTAATATGTGTTGCATTTTGGTAGCGTTTTTGTCTTTCTCATTATTTAAGAAGTATTATCTACTGAAGCAGTTAGACATGTGGCTAACCTATGGTTTGCTAATCTGGGCCTTTGTGTTGGATATCATATCTATTGTATTGCTCATCTCCTCCGACTGGATTTTGGCTGCTCACATCCAGAATACGAAGTCGAGATTCTTCAAGAAGCGCAGGTGGTCTAGAGCAGTTTCCCAGTTGAATTTTATTACTTATTATGTTAATGATTATCCAAGTCTATTGAAGGAAGTTGCTGATTTTCTTCGCATAAGGGGTTTGTTGGAAGATATAAAAGGAATCCGATGTCTGTCTTCCAAAGATTTCAAAGAAGATCCAGAATGGCGCTTCATTTTTGAGGAAGTGAAAGAATTGAATGAGTTTTTGAATGGTAAAATGGCAGGCCCGTCTCAGACTGTGCTAGACACCAAGCAAGTTTGGTTATATAGTCGTGAACGAGTTCTTCAAGGTTTTTCCAATTCTAATGAGCTCATGAAGATTGTGGGGGAGTTAGATTACACAAAAAGTGTGCTAACATGGCATATAGCCACTGAATTATGCTTCCAAGGAGTAGACCAAACGTCTACATCAGGGAATGTGAGTATAAGTCACAGAGAATTTTGCAAGCTGCTCTCAGATTATATGTTTTACCTACTAATAATGCAGCCAGCCATTATGGCAGCTGTTTCAGTGAGTTGGAAAAAGGTGTTCGAAGAAACTTTGGCAGAGACCGCGTTATATGTAAGAAGGAGCTCAATCTCAAACGATGAGGATGCTCGAAAAAAAATCCTTCAACTGATCCCAAATTTCAGGAATCCAGAAAGGGATATAAGTAGATCGGTGTTATTTGCTGCATCTGAGCTTGCCAAACAACTGAAGAAGTCTAACAGTACTCCTTGGGAGCAAATGAGCAAAGTTTGGGTACATTTAATGTGTTTTGCTGCTATGAACTGCAGGCCACACGTCCATGCACAGCAACCTAGTAAGGGCGGTGAACTTCTCACATTCGTTTGGTTGCTCATGAATCATTTGGGACTTGGGACTCACTTTTCAAGCCATTACTGATGCTACATAGTGAATTTGATGAAAACTGCTTTCAGCGTAGTTTTATCTTTCTTTGTATAACTAGCTACTTGTTGCTGATGATGGACTTATGTAATCAGTTGTTTTAGTTTCTACGAATGATATCACATCTTTGCCCCCATGAGTATAGCTTCGAGCTACTAATTTTCACTTGTAATTAAAATTTCAGTACTGGAACGGTGTCTTCTTCCCTCCGTTGTCCAATTTATCTTTCACGTCCCCAATTTTTTTCTAATCCAGTAGCATTTGTTGAAGTGTTTTTTTAGTTTCTATCTAAAGGTAGATGTTAAGGAAACGTTTAACTTTATATTTTTTATTAATTGCTATGAAAAATATAAAAAGTGATTTTAATTTTATTAATTACTTAATTAAAATCATATATGTATTATTAGTGTTGAAAATAAAATTAATTTTTATATTTATTTATATAAATTAATGAAAAAAT